AATTCCAAAGAATATTTCTCTAATTTTGCACATTTCAGAAAATACAGATGAGAATAAAAAGAGGAATGTGACACTGATTGCTTGTACATTGTCAACTGCCCACACTTATGCAACCTATACTCTGGCAACTGTACATATGGTCCCAGAAATGCGTGGTTGGGAATGTCTGATGAACTACAGCCTGTGGTGAAGATTAATTTGTGCCATCTGCTCAAACATGATCTGTTTGGACCCTTCATTACGTCAATGGTATTAAACCATGAGCTTGTATTCCTCAGGCTCAATCCAAGCAATTCCAAGCGCCATTAGCAATTTTTTTTTCTATTCATTTGTGGGATGTGGGTGTCGCTGGCTGGCCAGCATTTCTTGCCCATCCCTAGTTGCCCTTGAGAAGGTGGTGGTGAGCTGCTTTCTTGAACCGCTGCAGTCCACCTGCTGTGGGTTGATGCACAATGCCATTAGGGACGGAATTCCAGGATTTTGACCCAGTGACAGTGAAGAAACTGCGATATATTTCCAAGTCAGGATGATGAATGGCTTGAAAGGGAACTTGAAGGTGGTGGTGCTCCCATATGTCTGCTGCCCTTGTCCTTCTAGATGGAAGTGGTCATGGGTTTGGAAGGTGCTGTCTGAGGATCTTTGGTGAATTTCTGCAGTGCATCTTGTAGATAGTACACACGGCTGCTACTCAGTGTTGATGGTGGAGGGAGTGAATGTTTGTGGATGTAGCAGGTTGCTTTGTCTTCGATATATCAGTCAGTCAGTCAATCAACAATGCATACAAAACCTGCAACTGTTCTTTTTTGTACTGTTGGTTTCCAAAAGACCCTGACCATGAAGGCAATTTCTCCCAGAATCCTACAATAGTTCCAACAGGGTACTGGCTAGATTGCCAGAGAAAGAATATAATATGACAATGTATGCCATTGCCCAGAAGAATCTCCAATGAATTTCAGGGGCCCTGTTCATATCCGCAAAACCTAAAGTTGTCACCAGCTGCAAGGAGTTTCAAGTACCATTTATGCCCTGTGGCCATAGGAGTTTGTGAAGAAATAATGAAAGGAAAACACTGAAGCCTATAATTTTGCCAATTCCTAGAACATTAAATACAATTGTCTAAAATGAATGCAGTGGTTTAAAATTAATTTGCCATCATTTTTTGTCTGCTATTTTGTCCAATGGGCAGGAAACTGATTTTAACTTAGGATGTGGATCAGGCACACATTGTGGACCTCCCTGATTCAGATGGCATAAACCTGGGGATGGAGTGAGAGGGGAATTGGCCAAATGGGGGAAGGTAAGGGGTCTGCAGTAGATCATAATCAGGGGAGGAAGAGCTTAGCACAGGGATTGGGTGGGAGGGACACATTTCTTCAGAAGATTCAGAAAATATCTTCTTCTCTTCCTGGTCATAGGAAGACATTTAAAAGAATTAAAATTATCAACATGTCTGGACCTCCTCTGGTCCTGCTCCTGCTTACAGCTAGAATGTCAACTTTGAGTCCATACTGTGCACAAATTGTATGAATGGATGTTAAACTATTACTGAGGAACTAATCACGCCTTGAGTTCACAATTGTTACATATGAACAAGGCTCATTTGTCTGTGATGAGTTCCTTTTCTTAAAAACACTGCATTTGTAAAATAGCGATGAGTGAAAAGCACAGTGAGCAGAACAGGCAACATGTAAATGCCGTTATGACCATTCCATTGCTCTGCTCCCATTGTCCATTTGGTCATTGGGTTTTGTGCACATACTTTAGCGTTTGGGTTCTTTTTAGACTGATTGAGGAGAAGGCAAGGTCAAATATGCCTATGCTTAGACTCCTTGAGAACTTTGTTTATTGTATATTAACACTAATGACTATACAAGGTAATGTGAGATATATCAGGCTGTAATTGTATTGTCACATTGTTAGGATACCATTAACGACAAGCATTTCTCTCTTCAAATTTAGTTAACTCCTCCTAGATTGTACAATTGTACAACTTGTGACATCATTGCAAGGTTGCTCCAGGGTTTGAAAGCCCTTTCACAACATCCCATCATAAGCATTCCCCTGTCCCCATTATAATTATTGATTAACAGTTATATACCATCTCAAACAAGCTGCTCAGTTTACTTCTTCATATATTTTTCCTTATCACCTCTACACCTCCCCAGATCTTTGATTTGATTAATCTGTGTCAATAGGTGGGTAAGGAACGTCTATCTCAAGGTGAAGAGAAACTTGGGGTAATGTTGGTGAGCTGACTTTCTCTATGGTGTTTCTGTTAGATCAGAGATTTAATCAATCTGGCTGCCTAACCACACATTCTAATGGAAAGTCCAAATCAAGTGATTGGCCATATCAAAAGCTACAGTTGATGTTGCACATACATTTATTTCTCTGATAGTACCTTTTCTTCAACATCCCATGTTCAGATTGAGATAGCAAGAACTGCAGATGCTGGAGTCAGAGACAAAACAGTGTGGAGCTGGAGGGATACAGCAGACCAGGCAGCATCAGAGGAGCAAGAAAGTTGATGAAGGATCCCGATCCGAAACATCAGCTTTCCCGCTGCTCTGATGCTGCCTGGCCTGCTGTGTTCCTCCAGCTCCACACTGTGTTGTCTCTCGTTCAGATTGGTTGTCCGTTGGTATTTATTCCCCATTTGTAGAAATATGCTCCATTGTAGCATCGGCCTGTCCTTCAAAATCCTATTCCAAGGAATAAATATACGTGTTGTTTGGAAGACAATTTGGTTTGATACTTGATGTAATAGGACTGGACAGTTTTGTATTTCTTGATTTGCGGTTTTGGAACCATATTTGTGACAAGATATTGTAGCATTAGATTACATAGTATTTTGTATTAAAGTTGTCACTTATGGTATATTTTTCAGATAAGTGGTCTGCTCCTCTGGTTGAATACTTCCATGATTTACATAATCAGCAGGTACAATGTTCTGCATTAAATTGAACTTTCACAGTATAATGCTCTGGAACAATTTTCTAGGGTCTGTACACATTATTATTTGGACTACTAGTCCTACACCAAGATCCTATTTTGCCTGAAGAAGCTCAATAACTGATTTATCTAAGAGACCAATAATGATTCTGTCATAAATGAGATCTTTTTGTACATTTTCATAGTTGAATGGTTCCAACAGATTCATTAATAACTTGTATATAATACCCACAGTCTTTCCTGAGAGCTGGTTTCTGCTATGGAAGCATGATATTGCCAGTGTCTTGTTTGTTCTTGAGTTGAAATCTTATCCAAATTCATTTGTGCAATTTGTTTCTCATCAATCTGTTGTCTATATAAGAAAGGATCTAATGTTCTTCCCATGTATTAGGGAAGTGAGCAAACCTGTTCTGCTCTTGATTGGTATCCAATCCAAAAGCTGTTCAAAATTTTAGGAATTCTGCTTTCCACAATTGCCAATTTGCTGGTCTACCAAATAGAGCTGATAGTTTGAATTTCTCGAGCAAAAGGAGTGGTACTGATAAATTTTGTTGCATTGGCTGATCACCTCAAGTTATTGATTATTTTCTTGATTTGGAAAATGATTGGGAGGATTTTGATCTTCTTGTGCTCTACACATTAGAATTATTGCTGATTCTTTTGTTGTAAACTTATTCAGCATTAAAACGGAAAGCAGTAAAAGTTTCTGCTGTTTTAAATGCTGCTTTAAAAAAATGCAGTTTTCCATTAACAATGTCTTATCTTTATGGAGATGAAAGAAATATTCCTTTACCAAAATGGCTGAAGCATTTCCAAAAGATCTCTGTGTAGAAACTTTCTCAAAATAGTTTTAAATGAGGAGATTCAATCAAAGATGGTTGCAATGTATGATTTGTGCCTATTACTCTGCATCTGAAGCACTTTCACTACATGATCAAATTTATATGCTTTTTCTTTGTTTCCAATGCTGTTTATTTAAGAATGATATTCAACAAAAAAATCTTAGTTTCTGAATAAACTTGTGTTTCTCACCCAACTCATCAAAATAATAAAGATTTAACTGTTAAGACTCCAAAACTTTACTTAAGAATCTTAGAACAATTCTTATTCCTTATTTCTTCAATTGATGAACCTTAAGCCTGTTTATAAAGAGTTTTCTTAACTTAGTTGCTGACAAATTTGCTGTCAAGTAAATAGTTTAATGCTACAATATTACGGTCTTAAAAACAGAAATTGCTGGAGAGAAATTCTCACCACAGATGCTGCCAGGCCTGCTGAGTTTTTCCAGCAATTTCTGCTTTTGTTTCTGATTTCTAACATCCATAGTTCTTTGGTTTCTATATTATTTTGTAACTCTGCTTCCAAATCTAGATTTTCTAAATATTCCTCTCTAGTGATTGGAACCAGGTTGACCTTTTCAACTACGAGGCTCTTGATTGGGGATGTTAACCTAGGCCGATCAGGAAAGCCTTGACTGACTAATTTAACCAGGAGTTTGGAATCTCCTCAGTTGAGGACTGACTCTGAGCTGGCTGGCCACAGCCAATATACTGTGTACTAATAAATAAAGGGTGGCTTGGTGACAGGACGCTGGCCTCTCTACAGTTACTTCATCCTCTAAAGTATCAAATTGACTTTGGATGTCCAGTAATTGGTCTCTTTTCAACGATGATTCATCTGTCCTTTGATGGTTTGCAGGTTTTTACCACTATAACTATCTTTTATTTTCCCTTGAAAGTTTGTTTCCCCTATTATTGGTTGTAAAAGCTTCCACTAATTTCTGATTGTCTTTGTTCAGACCTGAGGTTCTTCTGACTGCTAACTAGTCTTGAAACTATATGGCTAGTTTTTTGGAAAAGTGAATTTTTGTATTTATCTATCCACCAGATAATTTCAGGTCTGTTTCTGCTATCACTGCTATCATTTTCGAGAAAGTGGATCTCATCAGTGCCACCACCTTTCACCTAGGTGAAATGGCTAAGAATTTGGTTTCTTTACCAACTAATTGAGGAGAAGGCAAGTTCAAGATCTGTCTTCAGGCTTTCAAAGGCGTGGTGGCCAAGTGGGAAGGTGTTGGTCTTGTAAACCGAAGATTGTGGGTTCAATCCCACCCATGCCTACCAGTGTACTGGTTGTTAGTTTCAGAGCCACAGTGTCAGTCATTTGCCATGGTGGCTCAGTGGTTAGCACTGCTGCCTCACAGCGCCAGGGGTCCAAGTTCAATTCCCCCTCAGGCATATGTCTGTGCAGAGTTTGCACATTCTCCCTGTGTCTGGGTGGTCCAGTTTCCTCCCACAGTCCAAAGATGTGCAGGCGAGGTGGATTGGCTGTGCTAAATTGCCTGAAGTGTTTAGGTGGGTTTGGGGAATGGGTCTGGGTCTGGGTGGGATGCTCTGAGGATCAGTCTGGAACTGTTTCCACACTGCAGGGGTTCTTAAAAAAATACTCTGATTACTACATTTTAATGCTAAATATTACTATACTCGGGTAATCTAAGCTACACCAGGTTCTAACCTTATTGTTACATTATTAAGAGAATATTATCTACATGTGCTTCTGTCTTCAAATCTAATGAACTCCTCCCATGCTATTCTTCCCGAGTGGGGAGCAGCTCCACGTCATCATTGCAAAATTTGTCCAGGATCCCAACGTCTTTACACAAACATGGCAGGCAGAGATAAAATTAGACTTCAGAATGTTGAGATGAAAGTTTGAAAAATTGTGGAAACCCAAACCCAAGTGTGCATCATTCTTCCAAGTTTTGGTGCGATTAGGTAAACATGTGTAACATATGTTTGTGATGATTTTTATGGCCATGGAAGGGGACTGGTCGGGCCTGCGGGACAGGAAGAAGCAGAGGGCCTTTAGTCCATCTGTGTGGGGAATGCAGGTGTATAGGGACTGGACCTCCACTGACACCCACATCCGCAACTTCCCCCCCACAAGTGGTTGAGAATGCCCTCCACCGTGTCTCCCACATTTCCCACAACTCATCCCTCACACCCCGTCCCCGCAATAATAACCAAAACAGAATCCCCCTCGTCCTCACGTACCACCCCACCAACCTCCGGATCCAATGCATCATCCTCCAATACTTCTGCCATCAGCAATCCGACCCCACCACCAAAGACATTTTTTCCTCCCCACCCTTATCTGCTTTCCGGAGGGACCACTCTCTCCATGACTCCCTTGTCCACTCCACACTCCCCTCCAGCCCCACCACACCCGGCACTTTTCCCTGCAACCGCAGGAAGTGCTACACCTGCCCCTACACCTCCCCCCTCACCCCCATCCCAGGCCCCAAGAAGACTTTCCACATCAAGCAGATGTTCACCTGCACATCTGCCAATGTGGTATACTGCATCCGCTGTACCCGTTGTGGCCTCCTCTACATCGGGGAAACCAAGCGGAGTCTCGGGGACCGCTTTGCAGAACACCTACGCTAGGTTCGCAATAAACAACTGCACCTCCCAGTCGCGAACCATTTCAACTCCCCCTCCCATTCCTCAGACGACATGTCCATCCTGGGCCTCCTGCAGTGCCACAACGATGCCACCCGAAGGTTGCAGGAACAGCAACTCATATTCCGCTTGGGAACCCTGCAGCCCAATGGTATCAATGTGGATTTCACAAGCTTCAAAATCTCCCCTCCCCCTACCGCATCCCAAAACCAGCCCAGCTCATCCCCGCCTCCCTAACCTGTTCTTCCTCCCACCTCTAGCCGCACCCCCATCTCCTACCTATTAATCTCATCCCGCCCCCTTGACCTGTCCGTCCTCCCTGGACTGACATATCCCCTCCCTAACTCCCCACCTGCACTCACCTTTACTGGCTCCATCCCTGCCTTTTTGACCTGTCTGTCTCCTCTCCACCTATCTTCTCCTCTATCCGCCTCCCCCTCTCTCCCTATTTATTTCAGAACCCCCTTCCCCTCCCCCATTTCTGAAGAAGGGTCTAGGCCCGAAACGTCAGCCTTCCTGCTCCTATGATGTTGCTTGGTCTGTTGTGTTCATCCAGCTCTGCACCTTGTTATCCCTTTTATGGTTGCTACTTATGTTTGCATCCATTGTGTGAACCTCAGACTAACCAGGTTCTCCATTAGTTATATTGTTTGGAAGGTTGTTATATTATTGAAGAAAGCTCTTCACAAGGATCATGGAAGCATCCTTAAAAGCCTTGAAAGTCCAATGTTGGGCTAGGATTGTGCAGGGAGACTACGTAGTATGGATCTGTCTTAACAGTCTGGAATTTGGGGCATAAATTAGATACACCAGATGTACCAAGTACAAATGACTGATATACCCATTTTCAACATCCGAAGGTGAGAGGAAAATGTGGCAAAATCTGCTGCCCCAGAATTTCTACCGTAACTGTCCAAAGATGTGCAGGTTAAGTAGATTGGCCTTGCTAAATTGCCCATAGTGCCCAGGGGTGTGTAAATTATGTGGATCCGCCATGGGTAATGTAGGGTTACAGGGAAAGGGTAAGGGAATGGGTCTGTGTGGGATGCTGTTCGGAAGGGTGTTGTGGACTTGTGAGGCTGAATGGCCTGTTTCCACACTGTGAAGCTTCTATGATTTTATGATTCTATGAAATGAATTTAATATTGCCTGGGTATTTGTCCAGGTATTTGAAATACTGGCACAGGTACTTAGCCATTATGCTAGTATATTCTATGTCTAGGCATTACTAAAGAGAACAAAGAACATAGATACTAGCATTGATCCACTTGGATATCATTGGTAGTCAGGCATTGTCATGTATATTCTTATGCCAGAGAAAGAATGGGAGCATTGATCAATGAACTGCAATTCGATTCTTAACAGCAATCTGCTCATAATGACTGCTGAACAACTGATGTAGCCCTGACAGAATATGTGGTATGTTATTAAATATGATTAATTACCATTTCAAAGAGGATTTTTTAAAAAATGGAATGATTAAGTTTATTCATGATATTAAAGCTTCTACCTTAACCCGATGTGTACGTTCAAATCTTTATGCTTTTCTCAGATGATGTGATGAGAATCTCACTGGGCAGCAGCAAGATGCCATTTGAGTCATTATTGTTTATTAGATGCTTTGTTAACAGCCCAACTGACACTATTAGTATTCTGCCACCTTTCTTACCAAACTCACCAAAAAGAACTGGACAAGGAAACTAAGGCAAGCAAATGGCAGATTCAGTTTGTTGCTTTCTCTGAATCACTTCTTTGTTGGAAACTGGCACCAGCATCTCCAAGAGCCACTCACACCATATGTCAACAGACATTGGCATCTGACGTATGCCAGCCTCTAAGAACTCTTGTGGCGTATCTTTGATTCACTAATAGGATGTTTCTGCACTTCAGTACCACTCCTTAGGCTGCATTAACAACTATCATTGTAATGCTGCTACTGGGACAATGTGTGCTTAGGGACATGCATCCAGCTCCTGGTCTGGACCAGACTGCATCTCCAGGCTCTTCACTCGCGGTCATAGCACTCACTCAGACTGAGCCTACCTGGAGGCTCACAGCATCCCTTCCTTGCCTTGCTGTGCTGCACTTTGTACTCTCAGTCAGTGATAGCAGGTTCATATTACTGCTGTCTTGTCTTGCTATTTATTGTAGATGCAAAAGCTGGAAGCTTGTCATTGTTTACAGCAGGCTTCAGTCAAGAGGGATAGCTTTTGCTCAGGGGTCCTGGTTTGATGATGCTGTGGCTTAATGAATTGTGTTTTGACTTGGCTTCTTCTATAGAGAAAGATTGGGGTACAGGTGGAGAGCAGTCTATGAAAATACAAACAACTTATGAAGACTTGGGTGCTTTCTTTTTAAAAACTGGAACAATAGAAGCAGCCTGAATGGGTGCGGTCAAGCTCCCACCCACAGAACCAGGGATTTTTAGCTTTCAGCAGCAGTTGCCTTTGGGGTCATGAAAAAGTGATAACTACCTTTCCCCTCTCTTGATTACAGCCAAAAGCTGGGTTCTCTTCTTAGGCTGCTGGATTGCATGTGAGACAAAACCTGTTTTCTGAATGGGCCTTTTGCCAAGGGTGGTTTATGGGATGTTACGCTATTGGAACAGTTAATTAGTAAAAGTTACTATATCTATTGTTCTGTTAAGTTTTCCAGTAGAGCTAAGATTTTCCAGGTTTTTCTTTCTTTTGTTGTATTTTAATACGGTGTTTGAATAAATTGTGTTTTGCTTAACATCGAGTAGTTTGACCAATCGAATTGCATTTCAAACACAGCATCTGACATTTGGCATTAAAATAAGGAAAGTTAGGGTCTTGGCTACCTTCTTAATATATTTTGAGGAGATCTGGTTTGGTCCATAACACTGGCAGTGTAAGACAAGGTCAGTCTACAATACCAGTCCAGACCCTACCTGAAGAGGTCACAGTCAGGATATGCTTCTCATAACGGATGAGGAGCCAAATGGTAGGCATCACAGCAGCCATCTTGACTCTTTCTGTCTTTCTGTTGGGCTACTTTCCCTCTGTAAGGAGAGAGAAGCAGATATGGGAGATGAAAGAGGGTGACACAATTGTTCCTTTTGGTACTGGTGGGGATGTTTCCTGAGTGAGTGAGTAGGTAATGCAGAGGTCCTGCAGGGTTACATTGGGGTGACAGTAAGTGGGGAAAATGCTGCAGGTTTCAGAGAAAGTGGTAGAGCATGAGCCTTGGTGGGAAGTGGATACGGTAGCAGAGGGAGAGAGAGAGAGAAAGAAAGAGACAGAGAGAGAGAGGTATCAGAAAGAAGATGGTAGACCTTTATCCCTAGTGGAGTAGAGAAGAATATTGACCTTATTCCAACAGTTGGGTATTCCTCCGAAACGCTGAGAAGGTTTTAATCCAGGCTGACGTGGTCAGGTGGCAATCCTTGATTACTCATCATGGGCGAAGAAGAAGTCTTTCCTCTTACCACCTCGTCCAGTTGGATTTCCAAGATCTTGCCTACTGAGTGGAGAGCTTATTTTCTCTTGCCTGCAATGTCCAGGGCAAATGTCACTCACCATTTAGAGCAGCTTCAGACTGACAGTTCTTGTCTGGGTGCACAACAAGCTTTTAAAGATGGTGTGAGTGCAAGGGATGCTGGTGAATTCTGAGATATTTGCCAAGTGATCATCTGTTG